CCCACCCAAGCTTTATACTGAGTTACCATCAGATGAATGTACGTAATCACCAAAATTTGGCACACTTTGAAAAACACTGATAGTGATAGTGTTAGCATTAATGCAATATCAATTTGTTGTCAAGGTTTCCTCTTCACTGGTAAATAACAGAGAAGGTCATTTTGGTCAACTCGTGCCAGATTTTCCCACTCACCCAAATGAACAGGATACATTTCCCCTGGTGAGATTCTAATCCCACTGTCAATTGGGAATTTGTTGATGATGAAATACACCCTCCCTTCCACCTCAATTGCATCAATTGCATCAAGGTACATGTTGATCCGGGGAATATGGTTTTGTTGAACAATTGACCAGTACATGTACTTCCCTTCACACACCTCAACACTGGCTTCCTCACCACAGGGTTTATTATTTCTGACAGACGTGTACCCCCCAGCTACACACAATTTGTTATTAACTACAAAAAGTGTAGAATCAAAATGAGGTTCGCAAGTGTTTGATAGGAAGTCCCAGCGATTTGTTTGTGGATCAAAACTATATAGCATTGCGTTCAGCATCTTGTTATCCTGATGTGAATGCAACTGGGCACACCCATAAATTACATACAGCTTTGAATTGAATACTGTTGCTCCAGCATAGTAACGACCTTCATGGTCGCTACAATCACTTAGTTTAGCAATAGGTTGCCATCGACGCTGGGAAAGGCTATACCTTTGAGGAACTTGATTGTAATCACCTATAGCATACACGTAGTCACCTATAGCGCATAAGTTGTTAACCAACCATGGGTAGCGTGGCAACTCTCTCCACAAATTTTGATCCAAGCTATAACAATGAAAATTACCGAAGTTATCAGCTACATACAAGTGGCTGCCAACATGCTCAGCTGTGCGGTAACCAGCTTGCAAACCAGCTAGCTGTGGTTGGCTCATGGATGTCAGACGTTCCCAGCATTTAGTTACACCATCAAAGTACCTGGCAGGAGATCCAGGAGTAATGGCAACAAGAACCTGCAACAAGATACAGGAACATTTACATGTAGACCCCGTCCACACTACACCGGAGGAATTTGAAAACACACCTTTTTTTCTGCAGTTAGGCCTGCCATCCAGACTACATCACGAAAACGGAGTTTTTCGAAAACGCTCTTCAAACTGGAGGAATTTCACAATGCCAGCTTTTCGTTTCCATGTGGAAGGAAACATTTTCAAATGGCGGAGCTTTTCGAAAACAATGACTTCACAATAATCATGTGATTTCCCTGTCTGGTTCCTCTAACACAAATCCAAAGTGACCGGCGATTGTTGGGTTTTCAAATTTCTCCAGTGTGGTGTGGACGGAGGACATTTGATGCGTCTTCAGAGTGAAACCTCAGTTTTCAAATTCCTCAGGCGTAGCGTGGATGGAAGCTTATTTATTATATAATTAATTAATTAATTAATTAATTAACAACATATATTAAAAATTATGTAATTATTCATAGTCCGGTGACGTGACAGTGTTATACTGCAAATATTTATGGGCTGGACTTACTTGGCTTGGAGCTCGAGGCTTTGATTTCTCAGCAAACCTGGGCACCTGCGATGGCACGTGAAAATAAATTGCCGCGTCAAATAGAATCTTGTGAATATCTGAAAGTCGCTGAAAATCTCTTGTATTCAATTCATGGATCAGCACTTCAATGTCCACCAGCCCCAGACGAACAGCTCCGATAACTTTAGCCGCTACTGCTATCCTTTCTCTCTTGTGTTTAATCCACTGCATTACTGATTTGAAGACGAACGTCTCTGAAGGTGCACTGAGGTCATCTCGACTGAGGAGGCTGAATAATTTGTCTGCGCTTAGGTGGGCCAGGAATTCTTCGCTTTCACAAATGTCATGGTAATTCAAAGCCATCTTGCTTTCGGCCGCCTCTCTCAATTCTCTCAGGCCATACTTTTCGGCAATTGCGCAAATATGGCAGTACCAGCGGACATCAAGGTTACACTGAAGAACTTCCCTCTTCAAGAAGTCACAACACTCTTGAAGAACGCTTGTAACTTGAAGATGATCAGCTGCGGCGAGGACCTGAAACACGTTTTCCTTGTTTATGCGAAGGTATCCACTATAAATATAGTCAATTATTTGTTTAAACGTTTCAGAGGACATGTTTTCATCCCTTAATTCAATAACTTCCTGGTTCGTCTCTTTCATTCCATTCGAAAACATGGCGTAGAAATAATCACTGTAAGCAGCTAATACCATACGGTGAGCAGGAAATAGGGTCCTCCCTACTTTTAGCTGTACATCAGTGAATATGCCTTCTTCTCGAAACTGAGCACACTTCTTGACAAGAACGTTAAAATGTGAAAACATGATCGATCATCTCGTCAGCTATAGTATGATAGCTCCCGTTCGGCCAAGGGCGGAAGTATTGACTATACTTTCATTATGATAATTCATTTAAATATTGTGGGCGCTGTGATTGGTTAACAGTCAAACCAAATGAAGCGTACCCCTCAAGATTACTTTAATGAATTGATTATTTGAATATTGAACTCGCTAGTCGTTTCAAGAATAGACTGTTCACAACCCTCTATTTTCTCGTATTTTTATTCGATCGTTGAACGCGCGGATAGAATCGCGAGAGAACTGGACGCCAGCGCAAAACGGAAGACCTGGCTGGGTGGGGGGTTTCGCGCTCGCTTCGCTCGCGTGTGTAAATAGAGAGGTTTTGAACAGTCTATTTCAAGAATGCAATAATGAATTGATTCTGTGAACATTGAACTCGCTAGTCATTTCAAAAATCAATATTAAATTGATATTTTTTGAGCATTAAACCCATTAGCTGTGTTCTTGGAACGACTAGTGGTTTCAATATTCAAATAATCAATTCATTAATGTCATCTTGAGGGGTACACTTCACTTGGTTTCACTGTGAAACCGTTATCAAACTAAAACAAGTTATTCTGGGACGTTTATACATCTTTTAATTTTGTTGCAACATACGTTTAACGAGAAACTGCCTGTAGTGTAACACAGTGATAAAGGCATGAACTTGTGTCACAACGCTTTCGTGCACAAAGAGGAATCAAGCTTTGTAGTCCCTCTCTGTCACGCAACGCTGCGCCCAGCGTAGTGTTGTGTGACAAAGAGAGAGCCGGAGTTTTCAAGCAACAACCTGACATTATCAAGGCCACCTCATGTTGCCCATGTATTATACAAAATTAGATCGTGATCATTC